AGCACAGATCAGCTACCAAGGCCCACAGTACTAGCTGCACAGGCCAGTGGCACACCAGACCAGCTTTGAGGCCTATGCAGGAGGCAAACTACCAGGCCCAGAACCCAGCAAACAACAGGCAGGAATAGTCTGGGCCACCTGAGCAAAGTGAGTGAGCCACTGGTCCGGGAAGCCACAGAGACAAAATCCGGTGATGAAGTACCTGGCCTCCAGCAAAAGAGGCTTAGGACAGTGCTCTGATACCTCTGGAACAGAGCTCCATTTGAAAAGTCAATAAATCATCTAAAAGAGCAGCAAAAAACTAAAGGAAAGAGCCCTGGCCATACAAAGCTGTGATAAAAAACAAGGAAGATCAAAACACAAACTCAGAAGAGAAAAACAGTATCAAAATATGTATATGCAAAGACTCAAAGGGAAATGTGAATTTGTCTCAAGGCCAAATATTCCTCTTATTATGTAACCCATATTGAGGTTTACAAAGTGCTCTCCACAAAGCAACACTGGGAAATAGCATGTAGCATGTAAGCTACGGAAGCCAGCGGGGATGAGGAGGAAGAACATGCTAGGCATGGGAGGACAGGCAGAGAAAATGTCCAGAAGTGAAAGATTGTGTGTCTCGTTAAGAAACTGCAGCCAATCTTGCTGGATTACTGAGGATGTCAGGGGGTATAAGATACAAGGAGACTGGAAAATTCCAGGTGGGGGCAAAGTTGTGAAGGATTTTGAATGCCAAAGAGAGGGTTTTGTGGTTGTTTTTGTTGTTGTTGTTGTTGTTGTCGTTTTTATTCTGGAAGCAATGGAGAGCCACTGGAGTTTAGTGAGTAGGGAGGTGCCATGGTTGGACCTGCACTTTAGGAAAACCATTTTGGCAGCAAAATAGAGGACTAGAGTGAGGAGAGACCTGAGCCAGGCAGATTTTTTAATCCTGTGTATTTCATTGTGCTCTATTTTTTGCATTCAAAAATGTGAGAAAAATTCCATAAGATTTACCAGATCACTGAAGGTATTGATGGGAGACAGAAAACAGGTTAAGAACTCCTGGACTGGGTGCATTCTACTCTGGGTTTCCTTCCACCTATAAAAGAAGTTTGTCCTGTGATCTTTTTGTATCTGAGAGCTAGCTGAGACATCCCTGTGAGAATGAGATAGAAGAAAGTTAAATTTTAACGAGGTTTGTGAAGGATGCAATGTATGGACGAGACAGATTAACAGTATAGGATGATATCCAGAATGAACAGGCCTGAATGAGGTGCTGAAATTGGGAACTATAAAAGAAGAGTTGGGAAGCAAGCCCTGGGTACTCTATAGATAGGGATTACTGCTATGGAAAAGGAATTAAAGGCCTCAGCATCCTCTCTTTTTTTTTTCTTCATTGAAAGAACAACTACTGGTATCATCAAGGCATGGGAGCTCTGTAGAACTTCTGCCACGTGCTTAGATTCCTGTTTCTACGAAGGATAGAGTAAGACATCACATCTATCACTAAAGTCCTCTAAATTGAATGTCTTCCATCTCCAAAGGCCTCGTGATGGAAAATGCTATCCACATCCAAACAAAGAACTATGGAGTCTGAATGGTGATTGAAGCATACTATTTGCTGTTTTTTTTTTCTTCTCTTGTGTTCTGTTTCCTCTTTCTGGCAGTTGCTCCTATTGATTCTAGTTCTGATTTACAATATGAAAATGTGTTTAATAGGAATGTGTATGTATAGCCTACATGAGATTGTGCACTGTCTTCAGGAGGGAGGTGGGGAAGGAAGGGGAGAAAAATTTAAAACTCAAAAGCTTGTGGAAGTGATCGTTGATCAAGGAAAATAAATTAAGAAAAAAAAGAAAAAAATTGAATGTCTTCCCCACTAATCAGATATTGGAGCCTCTATCAGCCAGTTCGTGGTGACAGAAAGGGATAAAGTGATGTAAGGACATTTGATAGTAATATAACTCTTTTTTAATAGTATTTTATTTTTCCCCAATTACATATCAAGACAATTTTCAGCATTAATTTTACAAGATTTTAAGTTCCTAATTTTTCTCCCTACCTTCCTCCCTCCCCTCCCCTCCCCTCCCCTCCCCTCTTGTAAAATGGTAGGTAATTTGATATAGGTGATGCATGCATGATCATGTAAAACATACGTTCATATTAGTCAAAGTTGTGAAAGAAGAAATGGATCAAAAGGAAAAAAAAGATAAAAAAAGAATAAAGTGAAAAAAGTATGCTTATTTCACTTTTGTTTTGCTTTTGTTCTGATTCTTCCTTTACAAGATGACTAATGTGGAAATACGTTTAATATAAATGTTCCATGGAGTTTTTATTTTATGAATGTATATGTAGAGACTATATCAGACTGCTTGCTGTCTTGGGGTGGAGGCAGGAAGGGATGGAGGGAGAAAAATTTGGAGCTCAAAATCTTACAAAAATGAATGTTAAAAACTCTGTATGTTTAATTGGCAACGAGTTGAATAGTATGGGGTTCATTACACTCGGCAGCTTCTCTGGAAACTCAGGCTGCACTCTGCATCCTCAGTACAAACAGCAACATAGGCACCCACCTTGCATCATTAAATCCCATGCAATGTAATTTTACCTTCATCGTGAACTCCTTACGGGTCACTTCCCTATATGCCTCACTTGATTCCTCTGGCCAGCTTCTGTGGTCACAGATTTCCCTGAACAGGACTGGGGCATCATTTGACACTACAAATGCCCCCTGTACCAAGAGTAGCATCTAGATTGGTTGGAACTCCCATATTTCCCCAGAGATTCTGGCTGAAGAGCCATAGCTACAGCCAGCATGCTATAACAGAAAGTTATAAATCAAGAACTCTTGACATACTAAGAATTCATATATTCCTGAGCTTGTAACAGCACGAGTGAACTGAACCAGAGGCTACTGCACTCCTATTCCCATCATGGTAACTCTGGATCTATACCCCACTGAATAATCACAAGGCTCAACCAATCATAAGACTTGAGATAATCAACTCAAGAACTGTTCCCACAGGATCCAAGAGCACCTGTATTGTCCCTAAAATGCCTGCAGGCGTGGGCCTGCCATGGGAACTGTTTCAAGGCCCAAGAATGATTGTGTTATGATCCATTTCCCTGTGAGTTTTTTTAGGTATACAAACCCTGCCTTTGCACAGCAAGAGAAGGCCATCTCCCCATATAGACTTCCAGAGGCAAATGTGTCTTCCTCAGTCTGAAATTAACCAAACCACTACTTGATTCCTAACACACCTGCCTCTTGCCTGCTCTGTTGAGCTCTGGTTATTCCCGGTTAGAGACTGGTCAAGCCTGGACTGCATTTCAGATTCTTTTGACATAAGTAGCTGTTTGAATGATGTCTCCACCATCAGATTATTAGCTCCAAGAGAGTAGAAATTGTGTATTTTGGGCTATGTTTTGGTCCCTATCCTTGTTTTCTACCTTTCTCTCTAACTAGGTGCTTACCGCAGTTTCTGGCATACAATAGGTGCTTACTGAATGCTCATTGACTGACTGAGAATGATCTGAGAGGTGAGCAGATTTGCTCTTAGATTGTTAGCTCCATTCAGTAATATTGGAAAAACTCTATTCCAAGGAAATGATTCAAGATTATAGAGGAGGTTGAGGAACTCTGAACATTATATTTTCCTATATCCTGGAAGTAAAATGAACTTTATAGGAGATCAAAAATATTTGTTATATGCGTGATCCCCATCCAACCTTGAGCAAAGGGCACTTTGGGGACATAGGACTAACCCACTGAGTCCAAGTCAGGGCTGTGCATCTGTAGAATAATCTGGAATCAGCCAAGCACTAAGTAGTTGGGGACCACACTTGTCTCCCTATATCTACAACCCAGTATGCTGAAAGTTGAATGACACAAACACCATAAAGAGAAGCAAGAGTCAATGTTTAATTGCTAGTGTATTTATTGGTATTGTAAAGAAACAATGGAGTAGATCAAGAGGTAAGAACTGTCCCAACATCCAGGTCCCTGTGAGGACTTCAAGGTTGCCTCCTGAATGCCCATCTTCTTTTTTATGCACTGAAAGAAGAAATGAAGAGGCTTAGAGGAGATGAACCTTGCCTGATTTGGTTCATTGGCTAATGGCAATGGCAGTGGCGATGACAAAGTCACACATTACAGTAATTTTAAAAAGAAAATACAACAAAAATTTTAGAGAGACTCTGGGCAGCATAAAGTAGAGGGGGAAAAGAATAGCTGAAGTTTTCATCTCTCTCTCTCTTCTTCCCTCTCTCTGAATCTCTGGCTCTGGCTCTGTCTGCCTCTCCCTTTCTCTATCTCTGTGTCTCTTTCTTACTCTCTCTGACTCTATCAGGGAAGATGGTGCATAGATAAGCAAAGGTGAGCAAATAGTAGTGGGAAAACAAGAGTGATGAAGAATCAAACTAGTAGAAAAGATGAAACAGTTCTAAAACATTTTGGGACATATGATGTCAGCTGACAGTGAGTTCATATGCAAACATGAGCATTGGTTAACTGACAAGAAAAATGAAATACCTTGGGGGTGGGGAGGGTGAACAACTTCTTCACTGGCCACCTGGAGAGTCTCCCTCCTGGCCACCTTGAGGGTCTTCCTGCTGGCCACCTTGAGAACCTCCCTGCTGGCCACCTGGAGGGCCTCCCTGCTGGCCACCTGGAGGGCCTCCCTGCTGGCCACCTGGAGGGCCTCCCTGCTGGCCACCTGGAGGGCCACCCTGCTGGCCTCCTTGCTGACCTCCTTGTGGACCACCTGGAGGACCTCCTTGCTGACCTCCTTGTGGACCACCCAGACGGCCTCCTTGCTGACCTCCTTGCTGTCCTCCTGGAGGGCCTCCCTGCTGGGCACCTGGAGGGCCTCCCTGCTGGCCACCTGAAGGGCCTCCCTGCTGGCCTCCTTGCTGACCTCTTTGTGGACCACCTGGACGACCTCCTTGCTGACCTCCTTGTGGACCACCCAGACGGCCTCCTTGCTGACCTCCTTGTGGACCACCTGGACGGCCTCGTTGCTGACCACCTTGCTGACCTCCTTGTGGACCACCTGGATGGCCTCGTTGCTGACCACCTTGCTTACCTCCTTGTGGACCACCCAGACGGCCTCCTTGCTGACCTC